AAAAATCGAAACAACTTACGACTTTTTTATTTTATGTCTTGCTTTATAAAATACTGTTGAGCAACCAAAAAAAAAAATTTTTTTTTTAAAAGTTACCTTTCAAAGTCGACACGATGTATTTGTGCGCCTTTTAAATCCATGCATGTTTTTGTTGTCGGCCCGTTTTTTTGTTTTTTTGTTTTTTTTTGTTTTTTTTAAATCACCGTTATTCGTTTACGACACCTTTCAAATTTTTCTGAGTGAACGTTCCTTTATGCTTAGTCGTCCTTTAACGAGTTCTAAATATTCAGAAATTCAGAATCCTTCGCCGTTCCATTAGATGTTGGACTTTTAATTAATAATTTTTTCCTTCAGCCTGGGTTCTTCAATGACTTGTCCCAATTGTTGAAGGCTATCAATTATCAATTCTTTTTTTTTTCGTATAGTTCTTTCTACCTCGTCGCCATGGTTGAAACTTGACTAATGCATGGAATAATAATGCAACACAAAATGTACTTAGAACAAAATGTACTGAAACATGAAAGTGTACACAATATTTACATATAGTCTTTTGTATATTCCTGGTAAGACCGTTCCTGGAGAATGTGTTGACTGAGTCGCAGTCGGGCAGAGTCTCTGGTTGAATCTCTTGATTCCCCCCTCTCTTCCCGGTACCAACCATATTTATATGGTCGGTACTCCACTATGCAAATTAGGTGGATCCTACCACAACACATACATACAGACTAAAAAAAAGTGGAAAAAAATTGATCCCTGTTTCAGATGAGGAAGGTTACATCTCAGAGGCAACTATCCCTTTAAGAATTCAAAGTGCTACAAGTGTGGAAAAGTAGGACATAAAAAGTCACACTGTAAAACTAAAGCAAAGAAAAGTTCTCATAGAGAAATGTTTGTACACAGCATTGAAACAGAAAAAAATAATTACATAAAACCAAAGAAAATTTGTGTATGTGAAAATTAATAATGTGGATGCAAAATGCAATTAGACATTGGTAGTGATATTACAATAATCAACAAAGCCACATGGAAAGCAAACAGAAAACTTATATTAAAAAGAACTTTAAAAATCACACATGTCATGTCAAGTGAGAAATTATTTTTTATTGGCAAAATGACTTGTAATATTTCATTTCGTAACTGTTATATTCCATGCTAATAGGAATATATATGTGAAAAACAAGGTGGATAAAATAAGTAAAGGATTATTGTAAAAACTATTACAATAAGAATAAAAGTAACAAATGTTTAGAATCTCATAAGTACCCGTTACCAAGTCCAGAGAAAGCATATTTGCAAATACAGATTGAAGAAGAATGTACAGATTGAATAATAATAAATATGCCCAAGGGATTGTATGAGTTCAACTGACTTTCTTTTGGGACAAAAGTGGCTCCAGCTATATTTTAACAAGCTATGGATACTATGCTTGCAGATTGTGATTTTGCAGTTGCTTATCTGGATGATATATTAATTAAAAGTGTATCTAAGGTACAACATATCGGGCATGTGAAAAGAGGTTTTGAAAAAATAGTACAGGTTGAAACTCAGTGAGGAAAAGTGTGAATTGTTTTTGCCTAAAATCAAGTACCTAGGACAAATCATTGACAAAAATGGTCATCAACCAGATCCATTGAAGGCAAGTGCAATTAAGAATATGCTTCCTCCAACAAACATTACTAAGTTACAAACATTTCTAGGGCTAGCAATCTATTATCAAATTTATATACCTAATATGCAAAATGTGAGGGCAATTTGCTTAGAAAAGGTGTAAAGTGGAACTGGACTGGTAAGTGTCAGAAGGCTTTTGAAGAAATCAAGAAAATAATAATGTCAGACTTATCATTAGTGCACTATGATTCAAAAGCAGAAATCATATTGGCTTCAGATGCTAGTGGTTATGGTATAGGAGCATTAATTCTACATAAATATGATAACGGTAACATGAAAGCCATCACACATGCTTCACATTCACTACTAACCACAGAAAAAACTACAACCAGACTGAAAAAGAGGTGTTAGCAATAATATTTGCAGTGAAATAAATTCACAAACTTATACACGGAAGGAGTTTTTGTTTACAAACGGACCACAGACCTCTATTATCAATTTATAGTTTGAAAAAAGGAATTCCTATGCATACAGTGAATAGATTACAATGCTGGGGTACCATTTTATTAAACAGAAGAATTAAAAGTAAAAGTAGAACAAGACATGTTTATTTTGAAAATAAAATAAATGACTAAAAGAAAGTAAGAAAGATAGACAATTTTTAGAACACAATTCAGATATGAACACTTAGTCACTATGTGATGGAGTACCTATGTTTGCATAGACAGTAGTAATACCTATCATATTAAAAAAATGGATATAAAATGAATTTCATAGTGGACATCTGGGAATTTCAAGGATGAAATCTCTTATGAGAAGTTACATATACTGGACCAAAATGGATCAAGACAATGAAAAACTAGTAAAAGGCTGCAGCAAAATCACCTACTATGAAATTACAACCTTGTCCAAAAACAGATATTCCATGATCAAGACTGCACATGGACTTTGCAGTTCCAATAAAACAGATCACATTATCTTGCAGTAATGCATATCTTTAGCAAGTGGCCTGAAATTTGTAAGTACAAAAAATCAACTTCCATGATTACAGTGAAGTTTTTACAGAGATTGTTTGCAAAATATGGTATTCCAGATGCCATAGTCTTTGATAATGGTACCCAATTCACTGCTTAGGAATTTAAATAATTTTGTAAAAGGTCCTTGATTGAACATATTACTACCCCACCATATCACCCAAGGTCAAACAGACAAGCTGAATGGTTTATGGGTACTTTTAAGAGAGCTTTGAAAAGAACAAGTAATGAAAAAGTGAGTGAAGAAGCAGTACAAAAATTCTTGAGAGTATACTGAATAACTGCCAAATCCCAATACATTGACAAGATGTCTCCAGCAGAAATGATGTTCACAAGAAAATTAATTTGGTGTTATCAAGTTGTTATCAGGCCAAAAATGAATAAGAAGGGATAAGAAAAAGGAGATAAAATTTTTCAAAATTGTGAAAATGTGTTTTTCAGAGTATATAAAAAATGGGAAAAAAAATGTAGGGAGATGGCATAATAAGGTCATGGAATGGAAAAATTATATATATATATATATATATATATATAGTAAAAGGAAAAAATGGGAACACTAAAGGCATTGGAATCAGTTAAAGAAAAGGTTTACTGAAGAAAGGCCTGCAAGTGCTGTATGATATTTTTGACATATTAACACCCCAAGAATTCATTGAACGTACAAGTATGATTACCAAAAAAAGAAAATGTACAGAAAAACTAAACCCAAAACTAAAGAAATACAAAATTCAGTATGTGGCAAACTCACCAGAAAGAGGAGGTGTGTTAATACTAAGAAGTAAAATAAAATATTTACTATTGAAAAAATAAATCTCAAAAGGGGAGATGTTGTGGAGTAAATAAGACATCCACAAATGAACTAGGCAAGATGCCTTAAATAAAGAACTCAAAGTGAGTCAAAAGTTTGTTGGAGTCAATTGGGAAGAATTCTAATGATGTCACAGTGAGTAGCCTAAGCAAGACATAATATTATAACTGCTAGGAAAGAGTTATAACACATTCTAAATTTCTCTACCTATTCTTTGGTTCTGTGCTTTGATTAACATCAATTATAGGAAGATAGAATGTATGGTCATCAGCAAAAGAGAGAGCCTAATATGTAAATTAAAAATTTGAGATGCTGAGTTAATTCCTCACATATGAAATTGTAGAATTGAGTTCAAAATTTAAAGAAAGCCATGTTTCTGATTTGATAAAGGTAAATAAATATTTACACAAACTCAAACAACACGGGTCATTGATCATGTTCCCGAAACTTGGACCATGAAGAAACTGGAAGATTGTGGTATTCTCTGATGGTATCTCTAGTATAGGAGGGTACTTCATTTTGTTGGTTCAACAGAATAAGCTTCCATTACATGGTCAAGTTAAAAAATAAAGTGAATTGCAAGATCCACATTGACTGCTGAGATAGTGAGTTGACCAGAAACATTAAATCATGCAGTCTATTTGAGACACTTCATTACAAAACTCATAGGTTCAGATTGTGTCAGTATTCCCATAGAAGCTCTAGTTAACAACAAATCAATTGTGGATGCAATTTATTTGACTAAGGAAGTGGATGATAAACATTTGCAAATGTTTAATAATTTTGTTGTAAATTCTCAAGAACAAAAAATTGTACAAATTCACTTTCAGCATATATGTAGATTTTATTCCAATTCTAATCATTGCTTTTTTTTTATAAGAAACATTGTTGAGAAGTTAAAATAATAGCAGTTTTAAGGGAAAAACTGTCCTTTTAACATTCCATATTTTTTTTGTGGGGCAAGAAGGTCAGAGTTTGCCAATGTTTCAATCTAATGATTGACTGGAAGATTTTCATTATGTCATTTTTCCAATCAATTACAGAGATGTGGGGAAACAGGTCATCTCTCTGCAGCGTCCAAAAAAAAAAAAAAAACAGCCACATATCTTGACTGCTGAAAAGGAGGCTATAGCCATCTTGCCCATGACCTCTAACCTTTGATTAGAAAAATCGGTCAGACTGGGAACGAATATCATTATCCTTTCTCTCATTAGCTTGCCATGCCAAAAAAAGGTTATGGTCTCAATATAGAAGTCTGAGAGAGAGTGGCAAGTAGTAGAAAAGTGGGGTAAGAATGTTCTGGAAGCATTATCTCAGCCCTTGTTGGGGGTCTGGTTTTAGTGGCATGCACAGTCTCCAAGGAGAGGGAATTGATACAGTCTTCCTTCTAAGCTAACATCACAGAAACGACCATCACATTAACTACTAATACTATTACTGCTACTACTACTGAGACTGCTACTACTACTACTACTACTGAAACTACTACTACTCTAACTGCGACCAACTCTCTGATAATCCAGGTATTAATATTTGGTTTTCTTTTACAGGTGTGTTATGGAAGCACAGAAACAAGCCCTGTGACATTTCAAGGGTTAATGGATGATTCTATAGAGAAAAGATGTTCAACTATTGGCCTGCCTTCATGCCATAATGAGGTAAGATTGCTATGTAAATTGATAGATGTCTACCATTTTCCATGTATTGAATATTGCTACCATATCTTGCCTGATGCTTCTGCTATATATTTAGAGATTCTTAATAAAATACAAAGAAGAACCTGAAATGTTCATTCTGGGTATGATGATAAAATACATCTGGCAGCAAGGCCTTTGATCTGGAGGTTTTGAGGAGCATGGAACCACCTCTTAATTGCTGTTGTTCCCAGGTCCACTCTAACTCTAACACAGGGTGGTAGCACCTGTTAGGGTCCTAGCTATGGGAAAATAGGGAACCCCTAAACTGGAGTCAAAACATGATAATATAAAAATACACTAGAGAAAAACACCAACAATACATTTTTTTTGGTGGTGGTGGGGGTGTCAAAAGCTCACAAGAAAATTAAATATCAGCATTAAATGACCCATAAGGAGTTGATTTGCCATTAAACAAACCAAGCCAAAAAAAGAACCTACAGTGCTATTGGTCCTGATGAACTTTCCTATATGGTAGCTTTATGAATTTAAGCTCAGTACTAGATTGGATGTAAAGTATCATCATTTTAGAGTTGAAATGGCTAGATTTAACTGTAAGTTCTATCGCATTTCTCGCTCGTGAAACCCTCTTCTGAGTTCTTGCTTTGATTTTCCAAAATTTAAATGCAACTTTTATTGACTCTCTTTCTTTCATACTGGTTCAAAATATGTTTATTTCCTTTCTTTCTGACATGTGGGTTCAGTATATTTTTATTGGTTATCGTTCTCCAAAAAGAATCAAGCCAATCTATGGCTCAGTCCAAGATTCACAGATTCATCTCAGAATCCAGAAAGCTGGCTGAGATGGGATTGCTCCTGGCCAGGTTGTCTGGGAGAGAGCGTTTGATGTTTCTTGAGGCCCAAAATCCTTAATAAACACTGGGAATAAATATCACTAATGAAGCTTTCTAGTGTACTGTAAGTTTGTTTGTAGTATTTTTTTATCATTCACCCCAAGCAAGGCAATAAAGTCACTACAACACAAGCATGAAAGAATATAAAAAAAATAAAAATACTATTAAGAAGTGAGAACAATAAAATAACAAGAAGATAATGATTGACATTTCATTTAAAGATCAAAATTAACTGGAAAACATGAAGCTGGAAGTGAGTTGCACAAGTGAGAAAAGTGAGAGAGGAAACTGTCAGCATAGAACTTGCAATTACATTTAGCCATTTTAAATGTAAAATTATGAGACCTTGCTGCCAATCTAGTACCGTGCTTAAATTTATAAAGTCTAGGTAGCATAGAGGAAGGTTCACCAGGACAATTGCCATAAAAATATTTATAGAAAAGGCAACAGGAAGCTACATTATGGTCATAGGAAAGTGACTAAAGCCGAGATGCCAGGACAGGACCAATGACATTGCAGATTCTTCTTTGGATTTTATCAAAGATTTCTAAATATATAGCAGGGACACCAGACCAAAGCAAGTATTCAAAGCAAAGATGAATGGTAGACTTATAGACCTTCTCACACATGGGTTTAATATATTTTTATTTACTTTCTTTCATCCATATTGGCTCAAAATAAATTTATTTAGTCTCTTTCTCTAATATGAGTCCCAAATTCTTCCATACAAGTACAAAATATATTTATTTAGCCACTTTTTACCATATGAGCCTGAATTCTCCCATACTTGTTCAAAATATATTTACTTAGCCTCTTTCTCTCATATGAGCTCACAATTATCCCATCAGTCACTTATGTGCCATGTGTGATACATGCTTAGGCGATCATGTATCTTTTGATACGTGACTGACGAGGCAGATTTTTTCTGCAGTACGTTGCCATTTCTTTCTGTGGTAAACCAGTTGCCATCCAAGGCTATAGAACCCGGTCTGTCCTGCTATTTACCTGTAGCTGGGGGGAGAAGAAGAGGATTCATACCTTTCCCAAGGGTGTTAGCACATAAGTGAATGGAATGGATTCAATAGATAGATAAGTATCAGCAGACTGTGATAAATAGATAGATGGATAGATAGCTAGATAGATGTGAATAGACTGAGATAGATGAATAGATGTAAACAGTCTGAGATAGATAGATCAGTTATATGCCATGTGTGATACATGCTTAGGTGATCATGTATCTTTCGATACATGAATGATGAGGCAGATTTTTTCCCGCAGTAGGTTGCCATTGCTTTCTGCAGTAGACCAGTTGCCATTCAAGTCTACAGAACCTTGTCTGTCCTGCTATTTACCCATAATTGTCAGGAGAAAAGGAGGATTCATACCTTTCCCAAGTAAGTGAATGTGATGGATTTGACTGGAATTCAAACCCAGCTCCCTGATTCCTCAGTTCAAACTGCTATCCATTACTCCAATGCATACAGGTCCAAAATATATTAATTTAGCCTCTTTCTCCCATATGGGCCCAAAATTATCCCATACAGGTCCAAAATATATTAATTTAGCCTCTTTCTCCCGTGTATGGGCCCCAAATTATCCCATACAGGTCCAAAATATATTAATTTAGCCTCTTTCTCCCGTATGGGCCCAAAATTATCCCATACAGGTCCAAAATATATTAATTTAGCCTCTTTCTCCCGTATGGGCCCAAAATTATCCCATACAGGTCCAAAATATATTAATTTAGCCTCTTTTTCCCGTGTGGGCCCAAAATTATCCCATACAGGTCCAAAATATATTTATTTACTCTCATTTCCTTATAGAAACCAAAAATTAGTTTATTTGCTTTTATGTGTCTAAAATATGTTTATTTGTTTTACAAAATATTATTCATTTTACTAAATATATGTTTACTTACTCTATCATATATTATGTGACATATGTTCTCTCTTTTGCCTATCTTCTTTTATGTGCTTTGCTTTTTCATGAAGGGGTCAATCATGATTATTCACAATTCCCTCTCTTTTTTTAACTCTTAGAAATTTTTATCTTTTGCTATCTCTCATAATCCCTGTTCTGCAAACCATTTACACAAGCTTGTTAAGTAGGTTATTTGCTGCTTTCCTCTGTCCTTCTTGTCTTTAAAGCAGGTATTAAATTTTCCAAGCCCTCTTTCCTCATTATATGCCTGAGAAATTTCAACTGTATCTTTCTGATTTCAAATAGAAGTAATCTTTGTTTCCATTTTCCTTAAAACCCCATGATATTCTTGACATCTTTTGGTAGAACCACATGTTTATTGCCTCAAGATCTTCTCAAGATTGTCTAGCATTCACTGCCATATAGGAGAAATGATATTACATAACACTCCACTTTTCTTTCTTTCTAACAAAATTTTCCTGTTTCATAATACTTTGCTTAACTTTTGGAAGGCATCTTTTGCTAATCCAATGCCCTTTTGGATTTTAGCATCACATTTTCCATCTTCCTATATACTTAAATTAAATTTAAATTAAATTAAAACACTTCCTATATACTTAAATCTTTCTACTTGTTTGATTTTAGTGCTTCCGGTTCATAGTTTTCTTTGGCTGTTCCTCTTGCTGATAACCATACATTTTGTTTTCTTATGATTGATAGTTAGTCCTTTCTTCTGGCTTTCCTTTACTACCTTCTCTAGGAATTCCTATAGTTTCCTTTCGCTATTTCCTTTTTTGCTTCCATACAGATCTGAAATATATTCCATATTTAGATATAATTTCAAAGTCATGAATCTGAAAATGACTTTAGTGAAGCTTTTTATTCACAAAACATTTTATGTATGATTTTGATTTGAAATGTTATTAATATCCAAAGATAGCAAAATAAATAGATATATATTTCTAAAGAATTGATGGATATTTATTGATTAATCTGACAGAATTTTATTACTTAAATATTTACTTTAATATTACTTTAGTTTTAATGGATATGCATATTTGAATAGGTACTCCAGTATATTTGTTTTTGTTTTTTTTTCATTTACCAGCCTGAATATTTGCATTTATAAGGAACTATTTAACTTTGCTTGGTCATCAACAGACTTTGTGACCAAGGGGTCTAAAGCATGTTGGATCTAAAATGGTTTCCCCAGGAGGATGCAGGTTCGAATCCTCCGAGAGAGCACACATTTTCTTTAATAAGATTTCTAGAATATTCAGCTGGTAGATGAAAATAAATAGACTGTTTAATAAATAAACAGAATGTCTACTCAAATATGGATATCCACTAAAAATAATGTTTAAGTAATAAAAAAACTCTGTCAGATTAATAAATAAGAATCTATCATTTCTTTTATTTTTATATATATATATATATATATATATATATATATATATATATTGTATATGCTTATGAATTAAGTAGATTTTTTGAAAGTTTATTCCTATCCTCGCTTGACAATGGAACAAGATTATGGATTTTGAGTTAAATTTTAATAATTAAATTTATAAATTTAGTTTCAGTTTTGAAACATTGAAATTTTCTGTGTTGTGATGGAATCATATTTTTAAAAAGAAAATAATTATAAATGGCATTGAATAAGAATAATATCTCAAATGAAAAACATGCATAAAATGAGTAGATGTCAATGCACTTTGTGGCTGAAAGGTCTTAAATATTGTTGGATCTAAGACCGTTTCCTCTGCCTGGGTGGATGCAGGTTTGAATCCTGCTGGAGTGTGAATAAGATCTTTAATAAGATTTTTCAAATATTCAGGTTAGTAGGCAAAAATAAATACATATGCTGTTTAATAAATGCAGGTTCAAATCCTGCCAGAAAGTGCACATTTTTCCTTAATAAGATTTCTAAAATATTCAGCTGGTTGATGAAAATAAATTGACTGTCTAATAAATAAACAGAACCTCTACTTAAATATGGGTATCCACTAAAAATAACATTTAAGTAATAAACACACACACACATATATATATATATATATATATATATATATATATATATAAAATGAAGTAAGCATCCATTTATCTTGCAATATAAAGGTTAGCGCCCAGGCTGGAGTGACCTGTCAAGGACGCAGGCCTGGACATTGGCATATAGAGGCCATGTGCTACCCACACAACATGCTCCCCCCCCCCACTATCTCAGCCATATTAACAAGATCCAAAGGAATACATGGCATTACATTTGGGGCTAGCTTGGCTGCAGGAGTTGCCAGAAAGGTGTCGGTATTGACAGCCAACTGCCTTTGGAGATCCACTTCAGGTTTTCTATTTGGATTTACTTCCATAGCCTTTTCCATTTATGGATATGACTGCAAGGCAGTGGGGCTTTAAAATCAGGGTTTTCCATCCCCTAGATTGACAGCTTTCCTGGTCCATCATGCTCCATCTACCCAAATCAGCTGGTTATGAGGAGCCAGTTTTCTAGCTTCACCCATTTTTCAACTTGGAGTTGGACTTAGTTGTCAGTTGCTTGCCATGGAAGCATATTTTTATAGTCCCAAAGGTTGTCATAGTTCAAAGGTTTTATAGTTCTAAAGGTTGTCACACACACACACACACACACACACACACACACACACACACACATATATATATATATATATATATATATATATATATATATATATATATATATATGTAAGTCTATTCACATTTTTGTTATTCCTTTCCACCATGGCTTTTTAGCCAATTAATTCTGCTGCATTTTCAAGCAAAATATTCTACATTACTTATCTGAGCTGGACTTTATTGTTGAATGTAAAAGAGGGGGATGTTTATTTTTTGAATTATCTCCCTTTATTGCATTTTATTCATACCTTTCATATATTTATTTCCTTCTGATCTGATGAAGCCTATCTAATGATGACAAAATGCATAATCAAGTCAATAAAATTAAATTGTTAAATTTAGCATATTTTTTCTGGATTCCATATCCTATTTATATGCACATTGTCGACACAGAAAACACAAACACATACCTATACTCAATCAGAAAATATATGAATCTTTTACTTTCAATTCATTCTGAAAAAACATTGGATAAGGATTGACCTTAAATTCACTGCAGAAAACAAATTTCGACAAAACAAGAAAAATTGAAAAGAAAAAAACGGTGCAAATTAAAAGAAAGGCTTTTGAACAAAAGTCACACAATTTCATTCTTTCATCCCAACCAAGGGATGCCAGTTTAGTGGAAAAAGTATTAAAGATTTAATAACATACACACATATATTTCTTTTGTTCTAATCTGAGGAAGTCTATCAAACCTGGAGAAAAAACAGCAGGAAAAGTTCCCTTCAGTTTCCTTACTAATTTTTGGGCTTTGCAGTTTAAATTTTCAAACTTGTAAGAGAAAGAATTTATTGGTAAATCCCATAATTGAAATTCTGTTATCCAATCCATACCAAGTAAGTTCGTGGTATTTTCTATGACAAATAGTTTAGCTTTTCGCATTTTTTTATTTAACGTGACGTTTGTAACAAATTCTCCAATAAATTGTATTTTTTCTCCTGTCACTGACCTCACAATTTTATTTGTTTTCATTAAAGTTGCATTCCCCAACATCTTCCACATATTCAAATTTATGATAGATAGGTTGGAACCAGTGACGAGTCGCATTTTTATTTTTTTATTACTTATTTCGACGGTAACAAATTTTCTAGTTATTCTGTTGTTTACTTCGTCGGACTTTAATTTTCTTATTTTATTGCTTTTATTTTTTGACCTGCGGTGCGAGCTTTTATGCCCCACTCTTTCACAGTTGAAACATTTTTTATTCCTAAAATTGCAATATCTGTACCAGTGAAGTTCACCGCAAGCAAAACATGGCTTTGGGAGTTTTTGTTTATTTTTTTCTGGTATTTCACTTTTTGTTTGATAATCCGCAATTTTAGAATTCTTTTTGGTAGACTGACTTTCTTTTTTGTAGCGTATTTTCCTTACATGCGAAACACCAGACTGTTCTATCTTTTTCGAGTCTTTCTTTACGCTAACATATCTTGTGCAGTCTTCTGCCAAACTCTGTATCGTAAGACTTTGTTGGTTTTCCAATTTTGAAAGTACCAATTTCCTCAATTCTGCGTCTCTTTTTGATACTAGACCTTGAACACTTTTTAAGCATTTAAAATTGTCAACGCTTAATTCTGCTAGTTTGAATTCTTCACAATGGTTATTCACATTGGCTGCATACCTTATATAGTCTTGTTCATCCTCTTTCATCAGATTCAAACATTTCCACCTCTTGTGAAACAAAGATGTTTTTTTACTAAATAATTCACTTAATATATTTACCGCCTCGGTAAAAGTTAACTCACTAGTTTTTTTCGGTAAAATGTAGTTTACCAATTTGTTATGCTCAGCAGTTCCTAACTTGCTTAAAAGAAGTCTAACCTCCTTTCCTTCAGACCATGTGTGGCAGTCCTTGTTATACATGTGCGTACGTTTTTTATAATACTCCTCAAAAGTTATCTCTTCATCTGGACTGTACATGAATATTTCAATTGAATTCCATATTGTATTCTCTGAGAAAGAATCATTTTGTAGATTTTTCTCTTTCAGTTACTTCCAGAATTTTGTTCTGAAACTCCCTATGCATCTGTTCCATTTCTTGTTGAAACTGCATTTGTCTATTAAAGATTTCCTCCTGTAGTTGTATCTAGAATGTCTTCTGTTGCTCTAATATTGTCCTCTGTTGTTCCGACTGAAAATAATGTTGTGGCGAGCAAAATTTTTTCTCTTCCACCGTATGAATTCGAATCCCTTGTCGCCAAATTTGTTATGGCAAACGAATCTTTTCCTCCTCCATATGAGCTTGAATCCTCATGGCCAATTTTTTTTCCTCTTCCACTGTATGAATCCGAATCCCTCGTCGCCAAATTTGTTATGGCGGGTGAATTTTTTTTTTTCCTCTGTATGAGTACGAATTCCTTGTCGCCAAATTTGTTATGGAGTGATTTCACAGTGGAGGCTTGTATTTTGTACTAAGTTGGTCCTAAAATAGGTTCGACGTACAAAACATTAGGAACTTGATATAATAGGTATAACACATCTAGTTGTGGTCGTTGATGCTTTACTATTCGACTGTTGTCCGACATCGTCTAGTATTTAGTCACACCCTACGAGGGTATCATGTGGCACAAGGCCGGTTTAACGTGGGATCTTCGAGCCCATGGACTCGGCCAAAAATATACCCTTTGAACCCGTATAAACGGGTTCAGGGTTGGTTTACCTCCCTGAACGAGATTCTGAGGCAGAGAGTTCAGCCGGTCATCCGACATCGACTGACTGACCAACTCGCTGAGCGACTCCCTTATTACTCTTACTACTCCTACTTATTATAGGTGGGAGAGTCTATTAACTATAGAATAGGTGTGTTCTACTATAACACAAAGGGAGGTAACAAATAATGCTGACTTATGTAGCTGCTGCTGCTACTGTATGAAAAAACAAACAAAATGAAGCTTAACCATTAAAAATATATATATAATTTATTTTTATGGTCAGGGTTAGTTCTAGGGTTAGTGTTGATAAAAAATTATACAAGTTTTGTTCATAATTATAAAATTACAAAGAATACACAACTAGCAACTAATAAAAATTCAGCAAATATGTTTTTGTTCTTGGTCTTTATCTGATTGTTATATTTTTGTTAAATGTCAATGACCATTCTCAAAACTATAGAAAATATCAAAATATTTGTTGTTTGCAAGGATATTCATAAGATGGTATCATAGTGGGTAAGAGCAAAGACCTATGTGTAGAAGAAAAACTGTGTGAAAAGCAAAGAAAAGAAATGATCTTTAAACACAGCTATACAAATTTAAATAATGTTATTATTGAGCATAAAAATAATCTTTGTTTTCTCTTGAACTAAAAGAAACAAGTTATAAAGTCCATTGCAAACAAAGTTTCATGCAAAAAATGTTTGTTTTTTTGCAACAAAAAAGAAATGACTTATGTTAGTATAGGATGAAATGTGCACACTGGTATGAACAAGAATGTAGGCACAACATTGGTCTGTCAGTGGAAGATTGGGTGAGGGTCACATTCTATGTTTACACCTGGAGACAATTCTTGTTTTTTTATTCAGATTAGTTTACTTTGGATGTTTGGTAGAGTAATGGATTGCAGCTCAGATTGATGAATCAGAGAGCTAAGTTTCCAATATCTTATCTATGAATCTGGCTAAGTTGTTCCAATTTAACCTCCTTTTTTATATACAGATTCTTTGTCTATCTCCTGGAATACTTTTTGGGGTAGCATATGTTGAAATATCTTTGAAATACTCAAAATCTTATATCACTCATCAAAATTTCCAATTGCCTACCATTTTCTGTTGTGAAATTGCTCATCGGTGGGCAATGTCACCCAAGTTGGGAAATCCTGGTCAAACTCAATTCATTTGCACAGTTCTTTGGTATGATGATTTTCACTCTGTCTTGCCTTCTTTTTTTGTATTTTGGAGTTTACAATTTCATCTTGGATAATCAGTTTATTACTTAGTAACCATAGTAATCGACCCCCCACATTATGTGAAATAGAATCTTATATTAATAGCAGTTTGACCATGGTGTCAAAAATGACTTTATATTTTGTTAAGTTCTTATTATTTAAATTTTAACATGTTTAGTCTTTAAATATATATTTTCAATTATTATTATTGAACTCTACACTTTTACACTATCTTTTAACAAACATTATGAAACAGTCAGCCATTTTCACAATAAAGACACGGCCATCAGATAGGGAGATATCAAATTATCTCCTTTGCATTAGAGAAATTAAAAAATACAAGTGAAAAATATACCAAAAAATATTGTTGTAATACATAGTAATTCATTTTTTTTTTTTTTATATATTCCAGGTTAAAATAGTAAATGAAAATGATGAAATTGTCCCCATTGGTGAACCGGGTGAAATTTGTACCCGAGGCTATACAACAATGCTTGGATACTGGAACGACCCTGAAAAAACTGCAGAAGTCATTTCCCAGACAAGATGGTATCATAGTGGGTAAGAGTAAAGACCTATGTGTAGAGGAAAAAGTGTGTGAAAAGCGAAGAAAAGAAATGATCTTTAAACACAGCTATACAAATTCAAATAATGTTATTACTGAGTATAAAAATAATCTTTGTTTTCTCTTGAGCTAAAAGAAACAAGTTATAAAGTCCATTGCAAACAAAGTTTCATGCAAAAAATGTTTTTTTTTTGTTTTTTTTTTTTACAACAAAAAAGAAATGACTTATGTTAGTATAAGATGAAATTTATGTGAAATTTTCACTGGAAGAATCCAAAATGTATGTTATATCATGGGTGTATAGCATAAAAATAGCAGCAATGCAAGTACAGCTTTATACAACTATGCTTTGTTTGTTGTTTGGGTACTTTTGTAAACTGTTTTATGAAAATACTTTAAAAGCAAGAAATAATTTACAAAAAAACTTTAGCACACAAAAAATTTTTTTTGAGTAGACAAAAATTTGAAAAATCAGTATTATTTACATTCCAGTTGAAGTTATACTAAAGGCTAGTTTATTAATTTACATTACGCTATTTATAGAAAAAAATTGGATCATAGGAAGTTAAAAGATAGATTTATTAAATTCAAAAGTTTTATTGCTTAATATATACATATTTCTCAATTTTTAATATTGATTTTAGGAGAGAAAAGATTTTTAATCATTTTCTGAATGTGAGCCTCTATATGTTTTTTATCTTTTTAGCTTACAACAGAGAAATGATTGATCTCTACCTGTATGTCATTACAACATCCTCATTTAGTAACTCTCTACCTTGAGTAGCTCTCTTGTACTCTGTTTGAAGAAAATGTGTGTGAGGGGAAAATTGAGAAAAGCCAATTTCATATTTTGATGTTAGTTGTCAGGGACACACAACACAATCATCTTTTTCAATGCTACTCTATTGTTGTTGACTCAATAAAATCTTTTAAAAATATTAAATGTTGAAATATCTAAAAAAAACTATGGAATTGCATGTGAAAGTCTCAAAAACTAAAATCGGAACTTTTCTTAACATCACTAAAGATGCTGGAAAAATGGTCAGTTCCCTGTATTTCTCCAGCAAGCACTTCATTCCTCTTGTTATCCTCTACCTTTAAGAGCCAGATCAGGCCTAAAATCAGTCAGAAAGAAACAACAACCTTCTCCAGGAAAATCTTATATCTAGCCTGATTGTGACTTTCACTATCTTATCAACATTTACTTTATTTTACCTACATTTATATATGTTGCAAATTAAATGAAAAACAACTGACTATTAAAGATTTTCATAGATTTTGAGATCATTCTGGAATCATTTTTTTAGTCAAATCTGTGAATTTGTTTTGCTCATGCTAAGTTTTCAAAAAATACTCAATATAAAATTCACTATTTTTTATCCATAATGTTGGCTGTGTTAAAATTATTCAACTTTTTAACAAGAAAAATCTCAAGTTGATTTTAAAAATTGCTGCAAAACATTGAGATGGAATGATGTATTATGACATGTCTCTAATTTATATTTAGATACATTGTATTTATTTTCAGATTTTCTAGTTGAATTGTTCATCTATATTGCATATGATCCATTATTGTACATAATTAGGTTGCAATAAAATTTTTATTTTACATGAATACTACCCTATGAAAATTGAGATCTATTACTTAGTCAAAATAGGTGAAATACTATTTGGTACCATCATTTTAATCCCAATATCCTTTCAGAACTAAACTGATACCACCTACCAGCTACATGTCATATACCTTAATTGGAAATTCCTTCAATGTGAGCTTATTTGCTTAAAGGGTTGCCTCATATATATATATATATATATATATATATATATATATATATATATATATATATATATATATAAAAGTGAACATTGAAGTCAACACTTAGAGGCAACAGTCTGTTTCATGCTAGACATAATTGCGTCTAGCATGAAACAGACTGTTGCTTCCAAGTGTTGACTTCAATGTTCACTTTTATATTTACACACACTCTATCTCTGATATTGAGCATTTTATCCCATAAATATAGCACAACTTAAGACTATATTTCTTCATATATATATATATATATATATATATATATACTAGCAGTAGAGCCCGGCGTTGCCCGGGGATATAACAGTAAGAGATAGATCAAGTATCGACCATCATAAAGACTGAAAAATAAAATTGACAAAGATTATTGTTTGAGGTTGATGGACACGCATGTCTTAATTAGTGTTTTTTTGTTTTTTTTGTTTTTTTTTATGAATTGGTCAAACCCAAACTCAAACAAAAACATTGTTTTCAATCGTTATGAGTCTACCGATTGAATAGAATTTTATTATAAATAATTGTCTTGGAATTTTTAAAGCATTCTGAATGTAAAAATAAAGAAAAAAGTGTGCAAGACAATAAGAAACACTACCTGCCAAAAAAAGTTTTGTTGAAATCGGTTGAAAAATGTAGGAAATTCGATCCCATATATAAACGAACACACACACACACACACAAACAACCTGGGTTTTATAATAAGTATAACTCGATAAGAGCTGTCCCTCTTTCATTCTCGCGATGCCTCTTAATCGTGTTTTCAAATTGATTTTGTGCAAAAACAATTGTGTTTTTCCAATTTTGGTGCTGTTAGAACCACTGCAAGGTAATTTTATGTAGTCCTGTGAAGTTTTGTTGAAATCGGTTGAAAAATGTAGGAAATCCGATCCAATATATAAACGTACAGACACACACACACACACACACACACAATCTGCGTTTTATAATAAGTAAGATATATATATATATATAATAAAAATATCTGTAAAAGGACAATATGAATAAAGATAAATAGCTGGCTGGGTGATGGTCTAGGAGAAGATTTGGTCTGGGAGATTTGTGAAGTTACCAAGGCTTGGACCAATCACAGGAAGTTAACTGTTAAGTATATATATTTGGAGCCTATTGACAAGGCGATTTTCATTAAAATTTTATTTTTTATTGAAGATTTACAATCAGTAATTTTCTTTTAATCTTTTCCAGATAGATTTTCAATATTTATTTCAAAAAGCACTATATAAAATTCACTATCTTATGCATTATGTTGAATGTGTTAAAATTATTCAACTTTTTAACAAGAAAAATCTCAAGTTGATTTTAAAAATTGCCGCAAAACATTGAGATGGAATGATGTATTGTGACATGTCTCTAATTTATATTTAGATACATTGTATTTATTTTCAATTTTTCTAGTTGAATTGTTCACCTATATTGCATATGATTCATTATTGTACATAATTAGGTTGCAATAAAATTTGTATTTTATAGGGATACCACCTTATGAAAAGTGAGTAGTAGAGTGGGGGTGCTTGTAACATAGATTCAGGAGGGGGCATGAGACCTTTTCACCAGCTCTGAAACGGCCACTGTTTGGATTTGTGAAGTTACCAAGGCTTGGACCAATCACAAGGAGTTAACTGTTTAGTATATATTTTTGGAGCCTATTGACAAGGTGATTTTCATTAAGTTTCTATTTTTATTGAAGATTTACAATCAGTAATTTTTTTTAATCTTTTCCAGAGATATGGCTGTAATGGATGATGATGGTTATTGTAAAATTATAGGAAGGTACAAGGATATGATAATCCGGGGTGGAGAAAATATCTACCCAACTGAAATTGAGAATTTATTATATAAGCTTCCAAACATAAGAGAGGTTCAGGTAAGAAAATCTTATTTTTTTCAGTTATTAACATCTTAAATGCATATTAGCTGACTTACCTTGTATTGTAGTGGATGATATATAGCTTACCTATTATTATAATGGACATTATCTACTTTACCTAGTGACATAATAGATGTCACCTGCCTTACCTTGTTCCCTATAACAATTGTATAATTGTTAAAATAAACAATCATTACTTTTATATAAGGCTATCCTATAACTTTTGCATGCCAGTGTTTGTTTCTTTATATATATATATCTCTTTCTCTCTCTCTCTCTCTGTGTATATATGTGTATGCATGTGTTTATATATATATATATGTGTGTGTGTGTGCATATATATATTTATATATAATGTATATATGTGTGTGTATGTATGTGTACATTTATATATATATATATATATATATATGTATGTATATATGTGTGTGTATGTATGTGTGTATATATTTGTATGTATGAGTGTGTGTGTGTATATATAATGTATGTTTGCATTTAAATAAGAAACCAATACAAAAATCATCTTTATAAATTTAATGTCTTGATTTACCTTTATTGGAAATTTTTTACAACATTAAATTTATAAATATTTTCTGACATGTTTGTTATTCTGTCAGATTTCTTCTGTACTAGCAGTACCTGTAAAAATGTCATGCTTTACCTATTTGAATTTTCTAATTATTCATAATTCTTAAGTTAATGATTGCAGAAGCTTTTTGTGAGTTCTACAGCTATAAGATAACTGTGGAAATTTTCCTATTATATCCCTATTTGAGTTTAAGAACTTTAACAAAATATCGCAATAGCAATCATAAGTGCAGACCCTTATTTAAAGAAGTAAGAGGGTACAAATGAAGAGATTAAAAAGTTTTCCATTTCACTGAAGCAGACATTAAATGCATGAGAGTCATTTTTTTTAGTATTTCATTTCTGAGTAATTGTTAATATACTTGTATTATTTTTAACTGTTGTTCTCATCTCAGTTGATATAGATGTTATTATACAAGGGTCATTCAATAAATAAGGTGAATTTTTTGGTATAAGGACTTCTAATACAGATAGAAGCTTACTTTTATTTTTATTTTTCAATGTAGTCTCCCAGCACTGTCACACACTTTTCCCATCTGTGCACAAGCTTCTGTATTCCCTCAGTGTAAAAATCTTTGGACTGATGTCTCAGCCAGTCGCTCACAACACTTTTGACTTCATTGTCACTTTTAAACTTTGTACCTCTTGTGTACACTTTCAAGGGACCAAACAGGTGAAAGTCTGAAAGGGCAAGGTCTGGGCTGTAAGGGGGATGAGGGAGCAGTTCCCAGCCCAGCTTGTTGATGGCCTGCACCGTTTGGGCTGCTGTGTGAGGCCTTGCGTTGTCATGATGCAAGATGACTCCTTCTGACTGATGACCCCTGCGTTTGTTCTTTATGTCTTTCTTGACCTGCCTCAGCAGTTCACAGTAATTCTTCTGTCAGACTGAATGAGGTCATTGACTGATTTGATCACCTCAGGAGACCTCGCATCTGTAGGCCTCTCAGGCCTGTCTTCATCCTCAACACTGCTCTGTCCTTCTTTAAATAATTTAGCCCACTTGTAGACATGTTTTTGGCTGAAACATGTGGCACCATACACAGTTGACATTCTCCTATGAATTTCAACTGGTTTGCACACTTCAGCAACCAAAAACTTGATAACTGAGCGCTATTCAATCCTGGAACATGCTTCTTGGTCGGCCATCTTTGTTAATCGCCAAAACTCTCAAAGTTTTTTTAATCTGCAAAAGAAATTAAATCCATGTGAAAAAGAAGTGTTGTGGATTCCGAGATGAAATTTGGTCTCCAATGAATGACAAATGCAGGAATTAAATATAACAAATAAATGTATTTACACAATAATACAATTGGTAATACAGTTAGTAAATCCAGAAACATGGTTAGTGGCAATAATATATATATATATATATATATATATATATATATATATACAGTCTCAAAGTAGGACTTCCTTAGAGTCTACGTGCTTGTAACTGAGACTTCTACAAGTGGTTACCTCACACTATTACTCGACCTCCAACTCAATCACAAACTCTCTCAATCTCTCTATATTCTGACTGACTCTGGGTATTTAACGGCAGCAGTCCAAGTAACACTCTGGTCAAGTCCACTTATATGAAAAAGGGGTGGACCTCATAACAAGAAGTAAAGCAAAAAAAAAAAAAAAAAAATAGTAAGCTTCTATCTGTATTAGAAGTCCTTATACCGAAAAATTCACCTTATTTATTGAATGACCCTCATAGAACAACATTTTGACCAAGTACTCTCTGGCCATTATCAGGGGTCTATTGATTGGCTGATATGGGATATCTGTTGATATTTTGTCCCTGTGATATCAGTTATTCTTTAATCCTGCTAAATTGGTGCATCATTACCAGTTCTTATATATCTGATGTAATTTTAATTTTCCATTTCTTTTCCCATTTTCTTCCTAAATATTTAAGACATCCTTTAGGGAGTTTTCACAATTTATTTCTAATTTCTAATCACCTCAAATCACCATTTTGCATTCTCATGCAACTGAACATTGAACTAGGACCAGTGGCCTGTTACACAAAGTTTTACTTTTGAGTTTAAAAAAATAATTTTCATTTGTAAAAACGTATTTTATGTTAGTAAAATTTACTTATTAATGTCAAAAATTGACTTTTGAGCAACAAACAGTAAGTATCAAGTGTTACAATGTTTTTATAGAATATTATAATTATGTCGTATCTCAATTACTATATGTCTAATTGTTATTTCAGGTTGTTGGCGTACCTGATGCCAGATTGGGAGAGGAGGTTTGTGCCTGTATACAAATCAGTGAGGGAAAAGAATGTACTGAGCAGGAAGTGAAAGACTATTGTCTGCAGAATGTAAGGATTATTTGACACACTAGCAACACTCACAGACCAATTCTACTATCATTCACAAATATCTCCCCCTCTCTCAGTTTGTGCAGTTTTTTTAAGAATGTGCAATGATAGCTCTCTACAAATTCTATTTTTTTCCTGCTCTCAACACTACTTTCTCTTTTAATATCCCTTACTTTCTCACTGTGGTATGCATTCCATCTGCTTGTACAAACTTATCAAGTACATCACCCACTGCTTTTCTCTGCTCCTTTTGTGAGTGTTAAGTTCTTTTAGCTTTCTTTTCTCATTATGCATTCTCAAATGTTAATGGTTTCTTACTGATTGTTATAGAAAGTTTATTCTGAGTCCTTATTTTCCCAAAGAACTTCCTTGCTTGCCACATGCCTTGTCCATGGCATTCTCTACAATTATCAATAAAAACCATGTCTATCACTTCAGATGAACAATAAAAATATCCAGTTAACGTGAAAAATGCATGGTGTGTGTGTATATATATATATATATATATATATATATATATATACTAATAGAAACCAATAAAGAAGTGACCGAAAACACTTGAGACAATAGAGAGTATGGACAATTTTTATACTCCTTTATGTCATGTGCCAGTTATCTTTTGAGGCAAATTTTTTCCCTGCATTAGTTGCCATTTCTTTCTGCAGTAGACCAGTTGCCATCCAAGGCTATAAAACTTGGTCTGTCCTGCTATTTAACCATAGCTGGGGGGAGAAGAAGAGGATTCATACCTTTCCCAAGGTATTAGTATATAAATGAATGTAATGGATTCAACTGGAATTTGAACTCGGCTCTCTGATTCCTCAATCCAAGCTGCTATCCATTACTCCACCATGCCTTTGTATATAGCATCTATAAAATGGAGCAGCTTGGGAATGGAACCCAAGCATAAACATGATATCCCTTTACATTTCATAACACAGCTTATATCCGAAAGTAGTTTTATATAAGTAACATATACCCTGAAAGTAATTTTATATAAAATTTAATAAATTTTGTTTACATGCAGTTACAAGTAATGATGCTAGTCATGTAATGCCCACATGGATTTTTAAGTGGTGAAATTAAGATTTCACATAAAAAAATGTTTACATACAGGTACAGTATTTCTATATAAACAAAACATGGGTTCTGAGTTCAGTTAAATGTAATAAAAACTGAAAAAAGTCATCATTTTATTTGTAATGCAATAATCAGGCTCTCGGGTAGCCATGTTGCTTTCTGAAATTTCCCGTTTGTGGCAAATCATGTCAGCACCTGAAAAAGTTTTGGATTTTGGTGGTTTTCATATTTTGAAATTTCGGGTAAAGAATACTCAACCTGTATATGTATATTTATGTATATAATTAAATAAAGAGCAAATAGGAAAATGTTTATAAATTTGACATGTTTCACTTTTATTTTAACTTCATTGGAATTTTGGGGGAAATATGTTATGGAAGATGATGTTTTGGCATTCTGAATTGTGTTCTTTTTGTTGTCGTTGGTAAGGTAGATTTTACATGTTTATGTCTTCCGGTATTAGTGTGTGTATGTCTGAATACTTGTGAACATTTTTGTTCTTGTCTGGAAGTAAAATAGATTATTTACTAGAGTAATAGTTGGAGAATTTTCTAGTACCACAAAAAAACCCTCAAAGATTTGAACACTGTAAATACTTGTTTTTCATGAAATATGTTTTCATTTATTTTCTTTTGCAGCTCTCCAAATATAAACAGCCACGATATGTTATTTTCATGGATTCCTTTCCTCTTACACCAACTGGCAAATTTCAAAAATTCAAAATTCGGAAGATGGCCAGAGAAATCTTGAAGTTGGATGAAACTACAAATCAATATTCAAACTGAACATTCTGTCATCGTTTTTAAATTGCATCTTTGATATGAAAGACAAGAAAGATACTGAAGACTAAAATGTGCAAAAAAAGAAACAAATTTTAACAATAATACAAATTATTAAATACTATAAAGAAAGTATTTATTTCAAATTAATATTATATATATTTTTGTTTGTATCCCCATTATCCTTGTCATTAAAAAAAAAAAAACTAATGAATGTTATATTATTCTTTTTAAAAATAAATAAACAAAAAAAATAAAATGTACATTCCAATTAACCCCCACTGGTACTTTTATCAATAATAATAATAATAATAATAATAATAATAATAATACTAATGATGTTGATGTTGTTGTTATTCTTTTTCATCTTCTCATCCACCCCCCTTTCTATTACACTTTTAAAGTTAAAGCTCTACACATTATTTTTTCTTTTATTTTTTCACATGTGTATTGAGCATTTTTTAATACTACTGTTTCCTGGTCTGATTCAACTCTGACCATAAACCTTTTATGTATTATGTGTGTGTGTGTGTGTGTGTATATATATATATATATATATATATATATATATATATATATATATATATATATATATATATTATTATTTTTCATTTACCCATTTACAGCACTACCCACAGTGCCAGGTGTATCCATGAATAATGAATCATGTTTATCAGAACAACCGATTTCTTATCTTCTCACCTAGCAAGGAATGAACACAGATTCAAGATTGAGTAAATCCAGTAAACCTGATATTTAGAAAGAGACAAAGTTCCCACTGACTGAAAGAAAGATTTGGCCCATTAGTCTGTTGTGACAGAAGGCAGTATTAACAGCAAAGATATTCCAAGTGTCACTCATTCCTCCTGCCCCTCACAGACAGTGCAAGATGATCCCATGAATAAAGTACACTGGTTATTGGAACCAAAAGGTTTCTTGTCTTTCTCACCAAGCCAATACCCCAAGACAGGCATATTCTCTTTGTTCGGTATGTGGCATTAGGGCAAGTTGATTTTTCACTTTTTTAGGATATCAATATCTTACTTGATTTGAAAGCTGAGGTTTGATGTGATAAGTGGTAATACCAAAAATTAGATTAATAGCTTTTACCAATTTTGAGGCATTTAGTTTTAAAGACTGTCTGAAAAAAATAGATAAATTTCCACAGATTTTTACTTACAAACTGACTTCAAAATTTTACTATTTCAAGAATAAATCCAAATAAAGTTGATATATTTTGTGTTAGATTCATTTAATGGAATATATATTAAAATCAGAATTCTAGTCATGAATCATCACAAGCAAAATATGTAATTTTTTTACTGTAGTTTATAAGTAAAAACTGTGTAAAATTGTAAAAGATTATTTGTTAGATCATAATAAAGTTTAGATAAAAGTATATATAACATTATAATACAGCTGGACACAATTATTAGACAAAATGTTTTAAAATTTCTTTGTTTATTGAAAATTATGCTAAAACTACTGCACTATAACATATTATATGATAATATTTTCTTTTTAATCATTTCATTGCAAGCAAAGCAAGAATGCAACTAGTACACAGGGGGTTACAGAGAATAAAAGTAAGAGAAAAGACTGGGTACAAAGGGTCCGAGGTAGAGACAAAAGATGAATGGGTTTCAAGATGGGAGAAGATGGTGATTGACATTGCATTCAAATTTTTCAAAATTGTAGTTTTCAGGGAAACAAGTAAACAGAAGGGAGTTCCATAATCAGGAAGTGTGAGAAAAGAAACTGTTGAAGTAGAAGTGGCAGTTACATTTAACTCATTCAACAGTAAAAGGGTGGGACCTAAATGCCAATCTAGTAGCATGCTTAAATTCATGTAGCAGGAGCATCAGGGAAAAAAGTTTGTCAGTACAGTTGCCATGAAAATATTTGCAGAAAAGACAGAGAGAAGTCACATCATATCTGTGAGAAGTGACTGAAGTTGAGATGCCAAGTCAGGATCGATCACATTGCAGATAGTTTCTTTGGATTTTGGCAAAAACTTTGAGATGAATAACAGGCAGATCAGACCAGATATGGCAACAGTATTCAATGCATGGCTAAATGGTATATTTGTAAATGTGCAAAATGGACTCTGACAAGAAAAACCTTCTGGTACAGCACAATGAATCAATTTTCTTTGTAGTAGATGCAGCTGTAGCTAAACTGTTCAATTTAATTTCTCTTTGAAGCAAATAAAGGTCTTATTTGATGGCACAATGATTTAGAAATAATGTGCTTGTGTCATGCATCTTGTCCATATACAATTTTACAAGGCCATGTTATCGTGACACTATTAAGAAGGTGCTGGTAAATTGGGAAAAATGCTTTCAAAATAAACAGGAAAACAAGAAAGAAAAACTATGCTTTTCAATAGACTGAAAGTATACTGATAACAAGAAAAATGCTATTTTTTCAATGTATGAAAGTATACAGATAAGAAAAACCAGAAGAATGAAAGAAAAGGATATTTTTCTTTTCTCTTCCCACCCTGGGGTTCAAATGCTGATGATATAGAAGCCACCTGTTTTTGGTCAGCTTAATCTTAAGCGATGGTATTTTCTTAAGTGTCCACTCCACCCCGTGTGGAAGAATAGATTACATTTTAACGACTTCAAGTACCAATGGGGGAAGAAGTTGAGAGCATCAGTAGATTGCTTGTTGAACAAAGTGAGTAATGGGGCTAAAATGGCTAAAAATGAGTCATTAGCCAAAATTTGGTCAGTTGATAAAATTTGGATCTTAAGACTGATCCGTTTCCAACAGAAATGAAATTCTGGTTATATTTTTTTTTGTTGGTTTGCCTAAGACATGATAAAATTTATTAAAACAAAGGAATTATCTCTTTTTGTTGCTTGTTGACCAAAAACCTGGTGAGAGAAGGTGACAGATGTAACTGGCCCACAAAGACGTCATAAGAATACCCTGCTGATGGAAATTTTGGATGATAATTGAATTTAGCAATTTGGGTTAGACCATGCCTAGCTTCTGGGAACAGGTTTGATCAGGGGACAAAGAGAGAGATAAAGGCCCAGGCAGAATTTCAAGGAAGATGGAGAAATCACCTGCACCCTTTGGGTGGTGATGTTGAGAGGCATCCACATGAGATGGAAGAAATTAGGCGGATCAATATTCTGCCACCAACATTCTTTGTGGAAGGGATCTCTCCAAATTTGGTCAGATAATCAATTTCCCAAGACCAGACAACGAAAGGCCCTGTATAGATGTTAAAATTTCCCTGGAAACTCCCAACCACCTCATGTCAGGTTTGCGCAAGGGTCGATAAATACAGACATATGAAGCGAGAAATAGAGAAGGAACCAAACAGTCAAAGTGCTGTTTGTGAGAGAGGCGTGTTGCTAGTTGGTTCAAGACCCGCTTTGCCAAACTCAAACAATTTCTGCAGAAAGAACTTAGACTCCCTTCTTGTTCTAGACTATCAAATACACTTGAATGGTCGGCCCAAAGAAATCATAGAGTGGAAGAAATCAGACTTTAGCCTTGTACCAGTTTACTGAGCGTGGCTAGACATAGTGTCACAGGGTATTAAGGGGAAAGGTGTTGGAAGTCTGCATTCTGCTAATCTTATTAAGTAAAAAGAATATGGTAATGTTTAACATAAATACCCACAAAAAATGTCATGTCAAAAGGGCAGTTTTTCTCTTGATGCCAATGTTACTGTAAACTCACAAAGTAATTTTTATTGTTTTAAAAAGCTATTTTTATAATGGAATTGGGAGAGTGGAGATTCTGAGGTGTGTGGAACTACCTCTTAAATGCTGTTGTTCTCAGGTCCACCGTCACCTGGGGTGGTAGCACCTGTTAGGGTCCCAATTTGGGGGAAAATAGTGAAATCCTAAACAAAACACTATGAAAGTACATTTTTATAATAAAATTACCAGCAGTGTATTTTTATATACATTACATTTCTCATTTTTACATTTATATACAGTACATTTCTCACACGAGATGGAAGGAGTTGGGCAGATCAATATTCTGTCACCACCACTCTTTGGAAGAGGGATCTTCCCAAATTTGGTCAGGCAGTCAATTTCCCAACCACCTCATGCCCCACACTGGGCTTGTGCAAAAGTCCATAAATATAGACAAGCAAAGCAAGAAGACAGTATAGGACATTGAGAAAAGAAAGAACCAGACAGCCTGAATTGAAGAGAGACACATGCCACTTGGTTCTAGACTCACTTTGCCAAGCCCTACGTGGATTCTGCAGAAAGAACTTAGACTCCCTTCTTGTTCTAGACGATCCAATACACTTGAATGGTCAGCCTGAAGAAATCACAGAGTGAAATAAATCAGACTTTAGCCTTGTACCAGTTTGCTGAGTGTGGCTAAATGTAGTGCCATGGGGTATTAAAAGGAAAGGTGCTGAAAATTTGCATGTTGTTAATTTATTAAGTAGGATATTCATTGTATGAACCTTTGATATAAAGTTGTTGTGTTACACAACTGTCTCTTATTTTGTTCCTTGTGGGATCATCTCGCCAAAGCTGCCGGATAAGTGATGTTGGGTATACAACTTGGCCTTCACCCACCTTGTGATCTAAAACAAACACAACATGGGCAGGGTGGAATTGAGGATTGTCTGGCCGTAGGGAACAACCATGGATTTGCTCAGTGACTGTGGGTGGTGTGTGACATCATACTATAAGGCTTTCACTGATCACCAGAATGAAATTCCAATGCTACGACTTTGAACCTAGACTTAATCTTTAAACTTGTTTCCTCAAAAAATGGTAATGATTTAGAAAAAAAATATTTTGTGTCATTATTTATCAAAGTGCTCAATCTCAAATCCCAACTTTCAAATTGAGTGCAATACCACGGTTCAAAAATTGACCTGCCCTAATGTGGCATTCATTTTCGTTGCTGGGTATTCACTGGGTATTTTCCAGCTGTGTTCACACTGATGCAGATAGGAACTGAATAGTGTGGGGTAGAAGCTGACCCATTGGTGAACAACAGTCTGAGAGACC